GGATCTCTAGCAGGAGGGTCTCTGCCGATTGCAGTCACTAAAAACAGGACTGGGGACTTCAACAGCAGAGTCCAGGGAAGGGGTAGGGACGGTTTTATGGCCTGCAGCATGCAGGGGGTCAGACCAGATGATCATAATGGTCCCTTCTGACCTTAAAGTCTATGAGTCTATGAGTCTATGAGACTTTAAATTGGTCATTCGTCCATAGGATAGTGGTTTTTGGCACAGACCAGGGCCTTTATATTTCAGGAGCATCCAGCGATCCCAATCTTGATTGTGCCAAGTGAAGTACAAACACACATAAAGACACTCTCTGCCCCAGACAGCTTACAATCTAAGCACTTTATATAGTAAATCCAAACCTCAGATAAGTGTAATTTCTGAACACTAACAAAAGCACATTCTTGAAGTATCAAATCAGTTGATTTCAGTGTATGTTCATATAGTCTCATTCAAATAAGCACACACATGCATTAATCAGAACATGTCAGACAGATCTGTTCACTGAATGTACTGACATCATGAAAACCCACACACATGTGCATGCACATTATAGTTGTTGATAACAGACATTCAATCATGACAGAAAACATTGTGCATGTTCAGTATACTTTTTTGCTCATAGGTTATTTCTCAGTTTACTTTCAATCTCAGGAAAGCAGCTACTGCTTTAAGACAGCTCTGTTTGAATTTCACAATTTAAACTATTTTTGAATTATTCAAAATGTGAAAATAGTTTTGCATTTCAGTGAATTTTTCTCGGGAGTGCTCAGGACTGCAAGTCACCTTGCTAACTGATTGCGTGCTCTCTGTGTGTGTGTGTGTGTCAGCGAGAGAGAGACTTCTAGTGCTAAACTGGGTGTCAGCTCCATGTCACTCTAATCCGTTAGCCATCAAAACAATCTCATCAGAAGCTCTGCCAGCCTTTACCTTGCCTTGTAGATTAACTCTAGGTGCACCCCAATCCTTGAGCCCCCTTGAACAGCATTCCTCTGTAGTATCCAGTTCCTGACACCGGACACTCACAAAGAGACAGTGTACATACCAGCCTGTCTAGTTCAGCTAAGGAGTCGCACCTATATATATATATATATATATAAACCAAAAATAAGTGCATTAACAAAGAACAGAGATTCATGAATACAAGGGACCAGTCAGTAAGAATAACATGCTCCTACAAGCTCTAGCAAGGGGTGTTCCTCATTGAAATGGATAACAAAATGTCTTTTTTGCTTCCCCTTTTATTTCCCCAAAATTCATTGTTTTGATGCCAGAAACAAGACAACTTCCCTATGGTTTTAGTTTCTGGTGTCTTCCCATGTTGATTTCACATCCCCACCCTGGTCAACCTGACTTTTCCTGTTGGACTTTCTCAAATGCAGCTTCCTTTGTGTTTAAATTATAATAGAGACAGCATGGATAGGTGATTTCACACCCCTTTGTCTGGCAAAAAGCTGCTTGTCAACCGTGCCAGGAACACAGATTCTAAACATATTTTCAATACATACATATGACTTCTTAAATAACATGCATACATATAGCTGGCAATACTTACGACCAGCATGATATAAGCTTTCATTTGATACCTCACACAACATCCTTTATAGATAAATACTATGACAGCAAAGTGGTAGGTGTAGTGAATTTATCTGGTCTGACAAGAGTTACACAGAGTGATGACCCACCAATGGGCCTGTGTGTCACAACTCTTAAGAAGAATAATTCAAAAGGTTAAAAATGAGTTCAAACTCAAAATTCAAATGCAGCAGTTTCCTTTACTATTGCAATGCAATTCTTGAGCTGGCAAGCCTGAGAATTTAGCCAAAGTGATAATTTTTTGGATGTGTTCTAAACTACCAATGAGTAGAATTCAGAATAAGAGTTTCATTACAATCATGACTACTGAGTTGCAAATTCAAGTGTACTATATTTTTTAAATCATCATTAATATTTCTATATGTACTGACACTTCTAAATACATTGCTATATGCATTTTCATTCATAAATTAGACTTACATTACAGATTGTCTGCTGGGAAAGGAGAGCCACTGTTTCTAACATTTGAAATTTTAGAAGAACACAAGTTTAAAAAAATTTCTTAAACTGAAAATTGTGAAGTGATTTGTTAGTAATAGGCTTAGCTAAAATTTAATGTACCTATTAGAGTTTTACTGTTTTTGTTACCTTTCGTATTGGTCCATATTGTTTCCTGTATTTTTTGTTCCAGGACATTCCTTTTTTCTCCAATAGTTTCTGCCCTAACTGATCAACAGGAATTTGTTTGGATTCTTCCTAAAGGAACACAGTTAACAGACATTGAAATGATGAAGTGGTGGGCAAAACCTCAAACACACCAACCAAGAAGTATGCAACAAACAGGAATGGTAATAAATTAATGGGTTTTGCTAACCTTTGCAATAGCTGGGGTAAACTACTTAAGGCTGCTAATGGATTGGCCAAACAAGTATTCAGAGAGATCCAGTGGATGACTACTTTTATATTAAAAATCAACTTCACACTTTCAGTCTCATGCTCCTTGCTGAATTATACTAGGACAAGTTTAGATTCTTTTCACTTACCCCACCCCTCTTCCGGATCAGTAATTACCAGGGAGCAGTAAAGATCTGTTTACATACCATACCTCTGATAAAATCCCTTTCAGGATTGTCAGTGGATTCTCCATTTCTTTGATATTTTCAGTATCTTTCTGAACCTTCTCGTTAGTCATCAGTTTGCTTTCTTCCTCCTGAAAAAGATCATTGATGGGGTCCTTACTACAAATCTATGGAAATAAAGATCAGTAAATACTATTATTTCAAACAGAGATGTGTATTTTTCCTTTTGCTTTCTAGCGCAGATTCTTTTCTTTTACTGAATTATGGGCACCCATGCGTAACTGCAGCAGTTAAATGTGGAGAAAATGTCATTGAAGAAGTCATATCAGACCACACACACTTACTCGCCAACAGGGTTGGCCATAGGGGCAGGCATCATATTGCTTGGCTGCTCCACTCCCACCTCCTTTTTTTAAATAAGCTTGGATACTCAGAGGCATCAAATACAATTTCCACACTGGATGGCAAAATACTTTGGTATGCAAGGCTGGCCCCATTACTGTTGTCTATAGAAGGCTCCTGATCACTCAGTTACTGCCCCTCCTAATTTCCACCCTTTCCTCACCCTCATGATGCAGCCTGTCAGATGAGATGACAAATATTAGATTCAAAGATTGCCAGTGCAGACAAGGTTCAGTGAACAGAAATTCCATGAGCTTTTACAGTGTAACAAAATAATGTTCGAAGAGGACTATCAAAACCTCTTACTGTATAGGACATTGACTTCTATAGATGCTGAAATCATTGGAAATTTTTGATATGGGCTGGCCAGCCTCACAGACAAAGCTGAAAGTTAAGGGGCCTACCAAGTTTAGAAGGCTAAACTTTCAGCTTTGTCTGTGAGGCTGGCCAGCCCATATCAAAAA